AGGCGCAATAGGGCGGAAAGCTGCAATACTTGTTTGATAAACAATGCCGCAGAAAGTGACCTTGAGTGATGCTTCTCTGATCATCCAAGGTTGTGGACCACGATTGGCAGCCTCACCTTGTAGTAGCGGCACTGCAGGATGCCACTCGAGGCGAAATAGAGCGGAAAGGTCTCCCAGATGGCAGTCACCTTGTACCTGCCAGGCACAGAGAGATGGTCACGGAGGAAGACACACAGTGAGAGTCGGAGTTGTTGGCGACAGTGATGGATGACAGTGACCTTGCACCGGTGCACGATGGTACTTACTGACAGTGTGAAGTCATAGAGTAACTCTGAGATTGTTAGCAACAGTAATAACTGGCAGTAGTGGTGCTGGTGGCAGGGCAGAGCTGATGGGATGAAGTGGCAATGGAATTGCACAGGGTTGCAAGAACATGAGTTTAAGAGTACTGAGGAAAGGGGGCCGCAGAGCAGCTTGCACTTAACGAACGAAAAATTTGCAGCCTTTCATGTCACACTTATTAAGCGTTGCTCAATTTGGCCAGGTTCTTTCATTCCAGGCCTGCCTTACCATACTGCCCAAAATTTCCGGGTACTGCCCGGAATTTCCCCATACAGCCCTGAATTGCCTCATGAAGTTGCGGATCTCCTCATGCTGCCCACACTCACGTGTACTGCCCGCCAACAACGAGGGGTCGGAGCCGCTTCGCCCGAGTGAAGTCGCAGCTCTTGAATGCTTTCTCATCGTCCATTATCCACAGATCATGCCATGCCAGGTCCGTCCACTTGAACACTGACGGGGCGGAATGGACATAGGGGAACGACAAATGGCATGGGTGATGGTGGGAGGATGGCATCCCACAGATCATGGCATACCAGGACCGTCCACTTGACCACTGCGGGATGACCATGGGGCAAGGACAAATGCATTTCGTTATGGCTCATGCATTATGGGTCATGCATTATGGCTCATGCAATATGGCGCATGCGTTATGGCACATGCTAATGGTGCATGCCATGCCGGGTCCGTCCGCTTCAGAGAACAGTACAGTGAAAGTGAGAAAGGCATGGGTCGAGAGGCGTCCATAGTGGCTGGCTGGTGACTCATGCATCATCTAGTCATGAGGCAACATGGTGCATGGGGGACCCTGTCCAGCCATGACTTATGAGGCACTATTTAGGACTATCTATTGAACATGGTGCACAGAGGGACCCTGATTCACAGGTGAGTCACCATCCCTGACTCAATCAGTAGGAACTCATGCATCATGGTGCATGGGGGACCCTGTCCAGCCATGACTCATGAGGCACTATTTAGGACTATCGCGACTACCCATGAATCAGGGTACACAGAGGAGGACCATGGCTTTTGATCACATGACTTAGTCTATTGACTTACGACTCGTGGATTCTGGGAAAAATTGTCACACCCCGGGTTATCCACTTTCACGCAGCAGCAAGTCACGGATTGGTGTGAATTGGAGTGGTGTGGGACGGAGAGGTGTGCGGAGTGGTGTGCTATGGTATTGTGTGGTACGACCTACCTATTGTATCGCCACGAGTTATCAGATCTGGAGGCTGCACCCCCCTCGTCCTGAGGAGATCCCAAGGGATGGTGGCAGCCTGATGGGTGAAAACAGAGAGCCATGGAAATCAGAAAGCCAGGAGGGGAGACATAGTATAGAACAGAGGGTGGACGAGGAGAGGATTTGGGAGGAAGGAAGAGAGGGGGAAAGGCAAAGATGACTGCAGAACAAAGGGACTTTATCAAACGATTTCAGAATGAGCATAGCTTATAGCGCTTTTAAACACTTGATGTTCTGCCTTTCCAGGACAAGAGCCACCTACCAGCTGAAGCAGCAAGATACATCGAAGTCAAATAGTGTGAAAGAAGGAAAGCGCTATGTTTTATCAGCAAAGGCGACTGTTCAGAATCCTCCAAAGTGAAAGTGGCGATAGGGTTACCAGCAGGGGAGGCCAGATCCCGCGACTCACCTGTGCTTGCTGCAGCCAGGCAGCTGCGCGTGGACGAAAAGGGGAGGGGGGGGAAGGTGGGGGGAATGGGGAGAATGAAATTGAGAGATGATGGAACGGAAGCAGCAGGGAGGGGAAAGGGAAGAGAGGAAGGGAGGGAGGTAGGGGGGGCGGAGGGAGGGAGGGAGGGAAGGGGGGCCGGAGGAAGGGAGGGAGGGAGGGAGGTAGGGAAAAGGATGGGACGATCGGGGAAGATATTGGTGAGAACGCGAAAGGAGGGACGGGGAGGGAACGAGGAGACGACGAAAGGAGGGGAGGTGAGAGTTTGGAATAAGCGCGTGACTGTGAAGCTGATTTCGCCGATTAAGTAGCTGTTTGCAAAGAAACGAAATCCCTCGTCCAATTTTCTTTCCTCCAATCGACTGAAGAAGTAAACCGAAATATTCCGAGTTCGGAAGGAACAGTGGTAGCAAAAATAGCACATTGCAAGCCGGGCTGCTCACACGTCAGGAGGAGCGAGGTGCTGACGAACAATGTGAATCCGGCGCCGACTGATCGAGCCATTCGTCGCAGCAGCAGCAGTTTCAGCTAGCGCGAACTAGGTGTGAAGGGAGAAACGATACTATTGCTCTTAATCTTGCGTAATCGGTAGCGTGCAAGACTCAGAAGAATCAGTAGCTCGAACGAACGAACGACCGCTGCTGCTCTGCTGTCACGTTGAGCATCGGGCTAACCACTGCTGGGAAGAACACAGATCGGTCGTTTAAATTGCTCATAAGATTGATATTGGCCACAGAACTGAGAACCGTCGCTTGCCTGCGCACTCAGAACGCCGTCCGATCGGCCGAGAGAAACCATTCTCGCCGTTATCATGATGACAATCTACGTTGCGCAATTCACGCGCAATGACAGGACCGTTACTATACTAGCAGCGTTACAGAAGAGAGGAGAGAGCGGGTGGGACTCGCAACGACGGCGGCGCTCAACGTTAGCAATGTGACGGTAAAATTGCGTGCAAGCGGTAAAATTGCGTGCAAGCCAGCGGGACTCGCCTACAAGGGTCTGCCGAAGAGTTGGAACGGTAAGGTAGGGTAAGAATGGGTGTAACGTAAGGTCTGTCAGTGGAATTCTCTGCTGAAAAGTCTGAGGCAAGGCAAGGGAACATTCCGCGCGCTCATATGGGGGTTGCCTGAAACACAGGTTAGGTCTTCACAAGGCTCTTCGCTCGACAGAGACCGCGATTCGTGGTCCGAGTGGGGAGTAAGGCGGAAAGCGTGTCGGAAAGAAAGGCGGAAGCACCTCTGTTACAGCAGGTAATCGACCACTCTAAACGGGACGCAGCGTGAGTGTCGGCGCCGCTGACAACTGAAGTAGCCCCGACTATGAATCACCCGTGTCGTTTCCGATTTCGCTATAGCTATCACTGTCCCTGCCGCAGCCGCTGTCGCTACGATGAAGGGGCGTCAGTGGAAGACATGGCTGGTGCTTGGGTTTCTCGACAATGACAGTTCCGATCTCGTCGTTGCTGAGTCGAAAATCGAAGGCGTGTAGCACAGCTTTAGAAGTCGATGTATTTCTATCTGCGCGCAAACATATATTGTCGGTTCTGTATTTCCCGATCGGTTTTGTACACTCGCCACGCACTTTGCACTATGTCGAGCTGGAGTATTGAGTGAACGTATTGGGCTGCTTTGGGCATGTCAAATATCGACGGTTCTTATTCCAGCTGAGACACAGCTCATGTCTGATCGCAGCCATCCAACATTTTCTTGCTCTTCGTTGCCAGTTTACCTTCGAATCTCGATCGTTCGTAACCATGTCTATCGACGGTTTTAATTCCAGCCTGGATCAAATCTAGGCGTCATCTCAACCGTCCAGAATCAGTCACATGGACGGTCAATACTTGAACCTTTTCCAACTTCACCCATTCAGGGCCAGTAGAGGCGCTTGTAATCTCGGCCGTTTACATCTTCACATCGACGCCCTCCTAGTGATGTTTTTTCTTTCAGTTTCCAGGCTACCAGAACATTGGGTACATATACGCAGTTATCGATGTTGCTATTATCAATACGATGTTCCGAGTTTCTCTGCCGAAATCAGCGGGGCGCTCGATTGTGTCACGATTCTCGACCCTGCTTTCCATCCACGTCTCCCATTCCGCTCGTTAATATCTCATCCCGTGAGGTTTCTCAAGTCAAACCCTCTCGAGGCAGGTAGAACAGCCTACTTCCTCTCTCTCACAGCATTTACAGGTGGTCTTCACGCGAGCTACGTCCGTCTGCGCTTATCTTTCTGCGACTCCATTGCCTTGTTTCAAGAAACATGGTTATCATGTTTTGAAGTAAATTTCACATATTGCGCAACACGTCATCCAACCCTGCTTTTGATCGATCTGGTTTGCGTTTGTTTGGGGGCGGGAGATAAATATCTGACGAGGAGAATATATTCGAACGGCGAAGTAACCGTATCTCAGTTTATGAGAATAAGGGATTGAACCAAGGGCGATCCACATATCTTATGCGCGGACCGCGATATTTGGAAACTATTTGTCATCTGGACGCCGCGATCTGACGCGGACACGGGTTTCATAAGAAGGTGGGATACGGGAAGAAGAGCTTTTAAACGCCGGCTACTATAAACCTTCGATTCCACTGACCATTTTTTCCGAAGTCCTAAGATAAACAAAGAAAAATAAAATAAAAAAAACCTGTCGAAGAAATCATTACGAAATAACAGGGAAAGAGAGAAACAGGGCCAAGTGTCTGGCACTCAAGAGCGCTTACGTCAGGCTGACCTCAGCACTCGAATCGCCAACCCTGGTTCATAATACCGACGAGTTTTGGTTCGTCCACTGGTTCCCGTTGGCTCGGCAGCAGATACGTTAATCTACGGCGCGTCGCTAGCCAAGAAAAAAATCGCGTGAAATCCTCAGATTGCCGGGAGACGTGAAATTGCGTCTGTCTCGCCTGTGGCCCGCGTCATTTGTTCGAGTGCCGTACAATTCCCGGCGCATACGCTGCACGCACTATGGCGGCCGACAATAACGAGGATGATCTGGCGACGCGTGACTCTGGCGAGCGCCCGGACGAGTGGACGGAGAGCGACAGGGCGGACACGGGGGTTGTGACACAAACGGGGGACGAGGAGGAAGAGGAGGCGGATGCAGAGGCGGAGGCGGAGGGGGAGCAGCAGGAATACGGGGAAGGGGGGGCGGAGGCGGAAGGAGAAGAGTACGCAGAGGAAGGGGAAGGTGGAGAGGAAGAAGCGGAGGAGGATGGGGAGGAGAATGGTTACGGAGAGCAGGAAGGAGCAGCGGAACGGGGAGAAGCGGAAGGGGGAGAATCGGAATGGGGAGAGGAAGGGGGGGAGGGGGAGGAGGGGGATGTGGAAGTGTGGGTGGCTGGGCAGGATGAAGCGGAGGGGGATGGCGGAGAGGTGGAGGGGGCGGGGGAGTGGGCGGACGCGCGGGGGGGCGGCGAGGGGGAATGGGAGGAAGGAGGAGAGGGGGACGAGGGGGATGTGGAGGTGTGGGTGGCTGGGCAGGATGATGCGGAGGGGGATGGGGGAAACGAGGGGCGTGGGGGAGGGGAGGGAGACGGAGGGATGGAAGGAGGAACGGTAGGGGAAGCAGAGTTGGGGGAGGAGGCAGTAGAGGGTGAGGAAGCGGGAGAAGGAGAGGAAGCGGGGGAAGAGGCGGGGGAGGAAGGGGGGGAAGGAGAGGAAGGCGGAGATGGGGATGGGGAGTATCCTGGGTGGGCGAGTGATGCGTTGCTTTCGTTTCTGGAGGAGCAGGGCGAGAGTGTGAAGGTCCCTCTGTACTGGTCTGCTGTGAAGAGGATCGTTGCAGGGTACATCCAAGCCAACGGGCTGCAGGTGAGACTGGAACCAAAGGGGTGCAGTGCAGATGAGTGCTCGAGGCAGCAGGGTGCAAGGGAGTGCCGTGAGCAACTGCAGGGCGAGAGTGTGAAGGTCCCTCTGTACTGGTCTGCTGTGAAGAGGATCGTTGCAGGGTACATCCAAGCCAATGGGCTGCAGGTGAGTGCTCGAGTCAAAGGGGTGCAGGGGAGGGCGAGAGTGTGGGTGTGCTGCTGTACTGGTCGGCTGTGAAGAGGATAGCTGCAGGGTACATCCAAGCCAACGGGTTGCAGGTGAGCCAAAGAGGTGCAGGTGAGTGCTCAAGTCAACGGGGTGCAGATGACAGAGAGTGTGAAAGTGCCTCTGTACTGGTCGGCTGTGAAGAGGATAGTTGCAGGGTAAATACATTCAAGCCAACCGACTGCAGGTGAGCATTGGAGCCCAAGTGGTGCAGGTAGATGAATAGTTGAGAGTGTGAAAGTCCCTCTGTGTACTGGTCGGCTGTGAAGAGGATAGTTGCAGGGTACATACATTCAAGCCAACGGACTGCAGGTGAGCGTTGGAGCCAAGTGGTGCAGGTAAATGAATAGTTGAGAGTGTGGGCGTGCCGCTGTACTGGTCTGCTGTGAAGTGGATCGTTGCAGGGTACATCCAAGCCAACAGGTTGCAGGTGAGAGTTTTAATAGGTGAAGGTTTGAGCCAAAGGGTGCAGGTGGGTGCTCGAGCCAAGGGGTGCAGGCCAATGGACTGCAGGTGAGTGTTGGAGGCCAAGGGATAGGTGTGTGTGTGCGCGCGCATGCGGGTGATAGGACACACACATGAGCGCGCACACACACACCTATTCAAGCTCTGCAGGTGAGTGTTGGAGGCCAAGGGGTGCAGAGCTTGAATAGGTGTGTGTGGGCGCGCGCATGCGGGTGAGAGGACAGGCGGGCGAGAGGGCGGGTGGGCGTGCCGCGTGCGTGCGTGTCTGTATCTGTGTGTGCTCCTCCATGGTAGAACCTTCGCTTGAGTACGACTTTTGAGGCGCCTTAAAAGTGCGTGTCTGTATCTGTGTGTGCTCCTCCATGGTAGAACCTTCGCTTGAGTACGACTTTTGAGGCGCCTTAAAAGTGCGTGTCTGTATCTGTGTGTGCTCCTCCATGGTAGAACCTTCGCTTGGGTACATGCATATGGGAGCTTTGCATTGGCCTGGCTGTTTTCAGAATCAGTAACAGCGGTTAGTTACTGTGATGTGATGTGAATGATACAACCGGTAGTAGCAGGTATTGCTACATGGAATCACTAGTAGTCGCTGTTATTGTGTTCAGAATAACCTTCTCGTATCGCTCTCTTCATTGGGATCCCTTCTCCGGTTTCTTCGCACCTGATGATTGCAGAAGGGCAAATGGATTACATGCGACGATGCGTTACAAGCTCTCTGCGATACCGATAGAAGCACGCAGGCTCAGTTTTACTACACTCTCGCCACTCACTACCCCGTTAAGAGCTCTATTAAGGTGCCTAGGCGGCTGCTGAAGCGGCAAGCAGAGGAGGAGGCTGTTAAGATGGGAGCGGGGGAGAAGGGGAAGGGGAAAGGGAAGGGGGCGAGAGGAGGAGGAGAGGAGGAAGGGGGAGAGGAGGAGGCGGAGGAGGGGGATTTGGAGTGGGAAACAGCTGGGAGGAGGGGGCGGGGAAGGGGGAGGGGTAGAGGAAGAGGAAGAGGGAGGGGGAGAGGGAGGGGGAGGGGGAGGGGAAGCAGAGGGGAGAGTGTGACGAGAGGTAGTAAGAGATTGAAGAGTTACGGTGAGATGGAAGGCGAGGGAGAGGAGTATGACAACTGTGAAGGGGAGAGGGATGAACAGGGAGACGAGGAGGAGGAGGAGGAGGAGAGGAAAGGAAAGGAAGGGGAGGGGAGGAGGGAGGAGGAGGATTCATGGGAGAAGGACTGGAGCTCAAAGGAAGGAGTGACACAGGAGCAGGATCTAGCAGAAGAAGAGAATGAAGAGCAGATGAAGATGGGGAAGCAGCAGCAGCAGGAAAAGGAGGATGAGGAGGAAGCATTTTCTCAGGACTTTGATTCAAGGGCTATCCCTGAGCCGAGTCCGGGGAAAAAGAGGAAGCGTGGCCGGCCCCCCAAGGCCTCTCGAGACGACCCAGCCACTGCTACAGCCGCCGCTACAGCTGCCGAACCCAACCACACCCGCTACTCCGATCCATTCGCCTCAGACCCAGACGTCCCTGAAGTGACCAACCCTTTCGGCCCCTCTGCCTTTTCCCCTGCTCCTCCGGCTCCCCCAACGGGCCCTGAGTGTGGGTACGCGGCGGTGACGCTGGCGAATCTGGGCGGGGTGTTTCTGAAGCGAAGGCAGCTGGAGGGGTTGCTGGCGGATGAGGGGTTTGACCGCAAGGTGGTGGGCACGTTTGTGCGTATTCGGGTACCGGGCCCGGCCAATCAGACAGAGGCCTGCTATCGACTCGTGAGGGTCACAGGTAAGAAGCGAGAGTAGTTGTTAGTTGGCTCCGCCTCCCCCCCTGCTCCCCCCACTCCCCCCGCGGGCCCTGAGTGTGGGTATGCGGCCGTGACGCTGGCGAGTTCGGACCCGTTCGGCCCCTCCTCCTCAGCCTTCCCCCCTGCTCCTCCCGCTCCCCCCCCGGGCCCTGAGTGTGGGTACGCGGCCGTGACGCTGGCGAATCTGGGCGGGGTGTTTCTGAAGCGAAGGCAGCTGGAGGGGTTGCTGGCAGATGAAGGGTTTGACCGCAAGGTGGTGGGCACCTTTGTGCGGATCCGTGTGCCGGGCCCGGCCAATCAGACAGAGGCGTGCTATCGACTCGTGAGGGTCACAGGTGGGTGATACTGGGGTGTGGGGCATGGGGTTCGGGCAAGGTTCAGGGGCAAGGACCTAGGCTGGAGGGGCTGCTGGCGGATGAGGGGTTTGACCGCAAGGTGGTGGGCACCTTTGTGCGGATCCGTGTGCCGGGCCCGGCCAATCAGACAGAGGCGTGTTACCACCTTGTGCGGGTCACAGGTAAGAAGAGATAGTAGTGGTTAGTTGGAGAACCCTCCCTTCCTCCTCCCCTCCTCCCCTCCTCTCCTCCTCCCCTCCTCTCCTCCTCCCCTCCTCCCCTCCTCCCCTCCTCCACTCCTCCCCTCCTTCCCTCCTTCCCTTCTTCCCTCCTTTACGAGCCAGACTGATATGTACCCCGTGGGAAAGGGGCTGACCAACAGGGTGGGTGCTGCTCATCATGAACTCTCCCTCCCTGCCCTTTGCCTCTCACATGCCTCCATCCTTTTCAATTCCCCTTCATCAGGTTCCACGAGCCAGACGGAGATGTACCCAGTGGGAAAGGGCCTCACCAACAGACCAGGGTGCTGCTCGTCATGACCCTCAAGACGTACTCCCCTCTCCCTGCCCTTTGCTCTCACACCCCTTCCGTCTATCCTTTGCTCTGCAGGTTGCACGAGCCAGACTGATATGTACCCTGTGGGAAAGGGCCTCACCAACAGGGTGCTGCTCATCATGAACCTCAAGACGTACCCCCGCCACTCTGCGCCTCTCCCTGCCTCTCTCCCTGTCCCGTAATCCAACCATTCATTTACCAATCACCAGGTTGCACGAGTCAGACGGAGATGTATCCAGTGGGCAAGGGCCTGACCAACCGGGTGCTGCTCATCATGAACCTCAAGACTCCAGAGGCCACGACTATCGACCTGGTCTCCAACTCCGACTTCACTGAGGTGCGTGTGAGTGCGAGAGTTACAGTGCGAGCGTGTGAGCATGTGAGTAAGTCAGTGTATGAGTTGTGAGCGCCTGACCAACCGGGTGCTGCTCATCATGAACCTCAAGACTCCAGAGGCCACGACTATCGACCTGGTCTCCAACTCGGACTTCACTGAGGTGCGTGTGAGTGCGAGAGTTACAGTGCGAGCGTGTGAGCATGTGAGTAAGTCAGTGTATGAGTTGCGAGCGCCTCACCAACCGGGTGCTGCTCATCATGAACCTCAAGACTCCAGAGGCCACGACTATCGACCTGGTCTCCAACTCGGACTTCACTGAGGTGCGTGGTTTTAGGCAACAGGGGTGTGCATGTGCACATCCCTAAGTGTGGGGGTGAGTGAGTGGGGGAGTCACAAGGGCCTGACCAACAGGGTGCTGCTCAGCATGAATCTCAAGACTCCAGAGGCCACGACTATCGACCTCGCCTCCAACTCGGACTTCACTGAGGTGAGTATGTGAGCTTGGGAGTGAGTGTGTGAGTTACAGAGTGAGCGTGTGGGCGAGCGAGTCAGTGTGTGGGCTACAAGGGCCTGACCAGCGAAGTGCTGCTCATTATGAATCTCAAGACGCCAGAGGCCACAACCATCGACCTGGTCTCAAACTCCGAGTGGGTGAGAGTGAGTTGCAGTATGAGTGTGTGAACGTGTGAGCGAGAGTGAGTGAGTGTGAAAGTGAGTGAGTGAGTGTGAAAGTGAGGGAGTGAGGGTGAAATTGAGTGAGTGTGAAAGTGAGGGAGTGAGTGAGTGAGTGAGTGAGTGTGTGAGTGTGTGAGTGTGTGAGTCATAAGGGCCTCACCAACAGGGTGCTGCTCATCATGAACCTCAAGACGCCCGAAGCCACAACCATCGACCTGGTCTCTAATTCGGACCTTACTTAGGCGAGAGAGTGAATGAGAGGGAGTGAGTGCGTGAGTTACAGTCTGAGTGTGTGAGGGTGTGAGTGTGTGAGGGTGTGAGTGTGTGAGCGAGCGCATGCTTGTGTAGGTTACCCCTGTGTATAGAATCCACCACCATTGACCTGGCTCTAACTCAATCTTCACAGAGGTGAGTGATTGTAGACGCTGGGGGAGTGCGCATGTGTGTGAATGGGTGGGTGGGTGGTTGAGGACTCACTTTTGTTAAGGAGGTGGACCAACTTGTAGTCTCTGCCTTCTGCTGCTCACTGCTTACGTTGCGTGCCCTGCCCCTTCCTTTGTCCACTCTCCACCTGCCCACACAACACAACACAGGAGGAATGTCAGAAGCTGCGGCAGTACATGAAGTGGGGGCTAGTGGACCGGCCTGCTGTCTGTCCCTTGTGCTCACCACTTGTATTGCATTCCCTGCCCATTCCCTTGTCCCTCCTCCACCTCCATCCCCTTTATACCAACGCAGGAGGAATGTCAGAAGCTGCGGCAGTACATGAAGTGGGGGCTAGTGGATCGACTGACAGTGGTACGTGTGTGCTCCTATGCTGTGCTCCTATGCTGTGCTGCCATGCTGTGCTGTGCTGCACCGTCCCATGGCATTAACATTGCCACTTTTAAGCTGCGGCAGTACATGAAGTGGGTGGGGGCTAGTGGATCGACTCACTGTGGTATGTGTGTGCTCCCATGCTTTTGAACCGATTTATACCGAATGCCCACGTGCTGTGCCGTGCATATGTTAGTCGCGCGGTGGTATGTGGTGGGAGTGTCAGAAGCTGCGGCAGTACATGAGGTGGGGGCTAGTGGATCGACTCACAGTGGTACGTGTGTGTGTGCTGCCATGCTGTGCTCCCTTGCTTTTGAGTCGAGTAATAAATGCCCACACGCTGTGCCGTGCCTATGTCATTTGCGTTGCTACTGTCTTTGCCATCACCATTGCTATTCCCACGCCACGCCACGCCACGCCACGGCCTCGTCCCTCTCTCCTCGTCCCTCTCTCCTCGTCCCTCTCCCCTCATCCCTCGCCCTTCATTCCTCTCTCCTCTCCATCCTTGTCAGGACGAGACGAGGTGGCAGCCAAGGAGAACGAGCTGCATGAGCTCAAAGTGAATCAGTCTGTGCTGATGTGCATCTCCCTCCCCCACCGTCCCTTCTCTCTCGCCCTCTCTCCTCTCCATCCTTGACAGGACGAGGTGGCAGCCAAGGAGAACGAGTTGCACGAGCTCAAAGTCAATGATGTGAGTGACACAGATAGCAAGCAAGTCTCGCAATTAAACCCGTCCCCTCTTACTGCTGCCTCAACCTCCTCTTTCCCTTTCCCGCCCCCCCATCCCGCCCCTTCCCACTCTCCCAGTGGTTGGAGGCAGAGCGAGTGAAGCTGACCAAGTTGAGGGACAGGGCCAGAGAGCTACTCTCACTCACACCTCCCTTGTCCACTGCACCTCTGTGCTTTGCTTTCTCTCTTACTGCTGCCTCCACCCTCCCACTCAACTCTCCCAGTGGTTGGAGGCAGAGCGAGTGAAGCTGACCAAGTTGAGGGACAGGGCCAGAGAGCTACTCTCACTCACACCTCCCTTGTCCACTGCTCCTCTGTGCTTTGCTTTCTCTCTTACTGTTGCCTCCCCCCCCCCCCCCTCTTCCCCACTCTCCCAGTGGTTGGAGGCAGAGCGAGTGAAGCTGACGAATCTGAGGGACAGGGCCAGCGAGCGAGGATCCAAGAAAGAATATCCTTTCACAGCGACACTACTCTCCTCCCTTCCTTGCCTCAACCCTTGCCTGATTATGTTCTGCTCGTGCTTTTTCTTATCTCATGTTTTTTTGGCAAACTCTCTCTTTGAGCCCAATTCTCAGTTACCTTCAGCCATGAGACTAGGCGAGCTGCAGCTTAGGAAAATTCTTTAGCAGAAGAACGACAGTAGTGTAAAACTCTTTGTTGCTAGTGCAAAAAACAAGATCGAAACTGAGCTCTAAGTCCACTACAACGATTAAAACGCAAACATGTTTCGGACGACTGGGGCAGACCCCCGTCAATCCTTCTTTGAGCCCAATTCTCAGTTCCGTAACCTCGTCCTCCCTCCTCTCCTTCCCCCTCCATTCCTCCTTGACTCGCCTGGGTCCCTTTCCTCACCACTCTCACCTCACTTCGCTTTTGTTCACTCGGATCATACCTCCCTCCTCACCCTCTCCTCATTCTCCGTCCGCCATCTCCTTGCCAACTATATAGTGTCAGTATCACCAAACTTTCCCTGTCAATTTTTCAATGTAGTTATTCCCTATCAACTCGATCTCAATGGATCCAAGCGTTCCTTAACCAGCCGGTTTTCTTCTTCCCATCCCCCCTGCTCCTCTTCCATTCTTATTTCCCTCCTTCCCCATTCTCATCCATCCTCCTCCTCGTCCTCTCCCCTCCTTCCCCATACTTCTCCTCAACCACCAAATCTGGAACTCCTGTGCCTTAAAAATGGATCCCTTTCAACCGTTTCCAACCGTTCTGGTCGCCACGCAATGGGAGCGGGTGCAAGCGCTCAAGGAGTTGGACAAGCCGGCATTTAAAGCCAAGAAGATGGCGGAGTATCCAAGCATTGAGGCGGACCCTGACCTCATGAACCTGTCTACCGGTGACTCGGATGATGAGGGCGAGAAGAACAAGCAGACAGGTGAGGGCAAGGGTATGAGGGAGTGAAAGGGGGGAACGGGGTAGAAGGGGGGACGGGGGCGGGGAGGGCGGGAGGGAAATTAGGGTGAGGGAGGGTAGGGAGGCAGGGAGGGAGTGTGTGCAAGCGCTCAAGGAGCTGTACAAGCCGGCATTCAGAGCCAAGAAGATGGCTGAGTACCCAACCATTGAGGCGGACCCTGACCTCATGCTGCTGTCTACGGGTGATTCGGATGATGAGGGCGATAAGAAGAACAAGACAGGTGAGGCGCGAGGGAGAGGGGGAAGGAGGGAGCGTATGGGGGGGAAGGGAGCTGAGGGAGTGGAGGGAGTACCCAACCATTGAGGCGGACCCTGACCTCCTGCTGCTGTCTACTGGCGATTCCGACGATGAGGGCGAGAAAGAACAAGCCATTCACACACAAAACCACACCCCTTTTGCACATACGCAATCTCACTCCTCTCTCCCTTCACTATTCCCCCTTGCCCCTTCCCCCTTGCACCTTCCCCCTTCCCCCTTCCCCCTTCCCCCAGACCCCTGGAGCTCGGGCGTCCCCCACTCACGACTCAGGGGGGGAAGAGGAGCAGGGGAGTTCGGGGGAAGGGGGAGAGGGGGAGGGGAGATTGGCGGGAGGGGGAGAGGGGACAGTTGGGGGAGCGGGGCAGGAGCGGGAGGGGAGAGGGGGGAGCGAGGGGGAGAGAAGAGAGAGGAGGATAGTGCTATTCCTATGTCCCGATCTCTATCTGGTTCTCGTTCAGAGGAGGAGGAGAGGGGGAGAGGGGGTTGGGGATATGAGGGGGAACGGGGAGGGTGGAAGGGGAGTGACAGGGGAGGGGATGGGGGAAGGTCAGACAGGGAAGGGGGGTGGAGGGGGAGGGGGAGGGGGAGGGGAAGGTTTGGGGAAGGGAGGGGGGAACGGGGAAGTGGGAGGTGGGAGGAGGAGGAGAGGAAGGGGGGAGAGTGGAGGAGGGAGGAGAAAGGAGGGTGGGGACGAGAGGAGGACAGGGAGGGAGATAAGGAAGGGAGAGGGCGAAGGGGTTGGGGAAGAGAGAAGGAAGAGGGACGAAATAGGGAGAGAGGTGATAGGAGAGAGGGGCGGGAGAGAGACGGATGGGGGAGAGAGGAGAGTGAGAGGGAGGGCAGGAGCGGAGATAGGGGGTGGAGAAGGGATGGAAGCGGAGGGAGCAGGGAACGAGGGGAGGAGAGAGACAGCCGGAGGGAGGAGAGGGACGGTTGGAAGGGAGAGGCTGGGATGAGCAGTGGTAACCAGCAGGAGTCAAGCCTCCCAAACTGGCAGCAGAACCCCCAGCCGCAACAGCAGCAGCAGGGGCTGCAGCAGCAGCAGCAGCAAAACTTCCAGCAGCAGCAGGGGCAGGTTCCTCACCAGCAGCAGCAGCAGCAGCAGCAGCAGCAGCAGCAGCAGCAGCAGCAGCAGCAGCTTCAGGTGCAGCAGCAGGCAGAGTTGGAATCCGCCTGGCGCACCGAGCTCTCTCGCCTGGAGCAGCAGCAGCTGTGGCACTACCGCGACCCCCAGGGCGACCTGCAGGGGCCCTTTTCCCTCGCGCGCCTGCGCGGCTGGCTGCCCCTCAACGTCTTCCCTCCCGACCTGCGTGTGTGGCGCGTGGGAGAGGGGCCGGAGAGCGGGGTGCTGCTGGGGGAGGTGGCGGAAGGGAAGGTGGATCCGTTTGGGGTGGATAAGCAGCAGTTCTGGGCTGCTGCTGGTGGTGCTGCTGGTGCTGCTGCTGCTGCTGCTGCTGGTGGTGCTGCTGCTGGTGGTGTTGGTGGGGGTGCTGCTGCTGCTGTCTCTGGTGGTGGTATGGTTGGTGCTTTTGGTGCTGGCGGTAGTGTTGGAACGGGGCTGGCAGCGGCGGGAATCGGGCCACCAGCAGGGGCAATGGGTCTAGCAGGGGTAGCAGGGGCAGCAGGGGCTGCAGCGGGCACGGGAGCGTTCGGTGTGCCAAGTGGTGGGGTGGGGGGACCTGTAGCACCCCAATTTTCCCAAATTCCCCAGGTTTCTCACTCCCCTCACGTTCCTCATGCCCCCCATGCTCCTCAGATGTATGCTGGCATGGGGCAGCAAGGCACACCCGTTGGCCCTGGGGTTAATGCTGCTAGTGGGGCAGCAGGAGTAGGAGGGATGATGGGGGGAGGAGGAGGTGATGGGTCAGGGTGGCAAAGCAGGGGTGGTGGCAGCAGTGGGTGGGGGGGAGGGTGGAGTGAGGGAAACAGGCAGGTTTGGGAAGGAGGAGAACAGGGTGCTTCTGGGGCAGGTGGCTTTGGAGCGGGTGCTTCTGGGGAAAATACCCCTGGGGTAGGTGGTACTGGAGGATGGGGAGGAGAGAGTGAGAATGGAGGTTGGCTAAGTCGAGGGGGTGGGGAGGGACGGGGGAGGGGGAATGAGGATGGGGGCTGGCAGAGTAGGGGTGGAGGGGAGGGACAGGGAAGAGGGAGTGATGGCGGGGGTTGGCAGAGTAGGGGCGGAGGAGAGGGACGGGGGAGAGGGAGTGATGACGGGGGTTGGCAAAGCCGAGGGGGAGGTGAGGGACGGGGGAGAGGGAGTGACGATGGGTGGAGGGATGGTGGTGGGAGGAGGGAGATTTCGTTTCGAGGGCCGGGAGGGGGGAGAGAGCGAGGGGATGATGAGTGGAGTGGTGGTGGTAGTGGAAGGTTCGGGGGTGGTGGAAGTGGAGGAGGGGAGGGTGATCGCTTTGCGTGTAGGTTTTTTGCCAGAGGGTTTTGTCGGAATGGGTCTAGTTGTCGTTTCAAGCATTAAGGAGACTTGATGTGATGTGTTGTAATGTTTGACAAGATAAGCACATGCTATTTCTTTGGAATATTGGTGCGTTACTGCTGACTAGTAACTGTGGTGTTTGAGATTGTGGGTGGTGGTTGGTTTGTTAGATTGTGTTTATTAAAAGGAGTTTTCTTTTTAGTAATGTAGAATAATAGGGCCTTTGAGTCCATATGCGAGTGTATTCTGTACTGTATTGTACTTGTGGAGGAGCTGCCGTACATAGATGCGGACACATTCGATAACACACAAGCCAACCAACCAGGGGATCGTTCACTGAGTCTAATGTGACGTCACCTACCATTGGTAGGTAGAAAATAGTATGCTCCTCTGGCTTTACCTCATTTCTTATCTCGACCGCTAGCAAACGGCTAGCTTCCCTCCTGAGGTGCTAATTTGAGGCTGTTCTGCAAAACGGCAAGCAGAGCGCCGACTAAGCTCGTAGACCGATGGTTTACGATGGGTGCCGAAGGGCTGTCGTGACAAGCTGAATCGGCTGCATTTCGGATCCGAACTACGGATTGGTCCGTGTACGCGCCGGTACATTCATGGACTAACACTTGACGTCGTACTGGTTTCCACTAATTAGTGTTTAGAAAATAGCCTCTGAAACGTCTGTCTCCCTCACAGTCGACTACATTCTCAAATTCCAGTAGAACCGCACTCCACCGCTTGTGACCGCTCGGCGTCTCTACCAGACGCCTAATTAAATATCGTTCTAGCGGTTTAGATTGAGTGTTTCGTTTAGGTGTTTAGACTAAGATCCTGCGAAGCGGTACAGTCTTATTTCCTGTGGAGTGAGTGTGAGGGGAGAGGCGAAGGTAGCAGTCATGGCGCCGACGTCGCGACATGGAGGAGGCAGTCCACGTGGCGGCACGGAGAGCGTCGCACATGTGTTTCGCGAATGCGTGGACGACCCCGTGCGAGGCGTGCGACGTCTGGCGACGAGCCACGCGGCGATGCAGGTGCAGCGCTGGGCGATGCTTTCGTACGAAACGGCGAAGAACAATGTCGGGGCCGTCTGGCGCAAGTACCAAAGCGGGGAGCTCTTTAGCGCGCACACACTCGAGTCCGTGAAAGTGTAAGGGAAAAAAGAGTCAGATTACCCTTACGAAAGGGGGAAGCACCCAGTGGATCTCCGTACACGCCTGCTAATGTGAATGCGAATGTGATTGTGATTGTGAATGCGAGTGCGCTGCAATGGAAGGTAAGGGAAAAAGGCGTTTCCAAAACTAACAACTTTCATGCGCCTTTGAGGCGCCTGGAAAGCTGCATTGGGCGCAATGCACTTTCTTTATCCCTGATCCTGAACCCTCCGCTCGGCCCCCTCCGTTGCCGCTCCAACGCACTCACTTAAATTCCAGTGATACAATCATGAAACTCTTTCTTCCCCACCACACTCTCTCCTTCCGGCCCTGCCCTCCTGTTTTCACCCCCCCCCCCCCCCCCAAACCCCACCCTTCGCATCAGTTTCTCTCTCGACCTGGTTGTCAGGGCACACGTGCAGGCGAGCAGGACGCATCGCTTCCGTGTTGCTAGTGCTGCTGTCTCATCAGCACCTCCTCGCCTCTCCCCGCATCTCCCCCCACTCCTCCCAACCTCCCCTCTTTTTCCTCACCCGGTGCAATCTTGCCAGGGCACACGTGCAAGCGGGCAGGGCGCATCTCTACCGCGTGCACTCCCTCTCGCGCCTCCCTCCCACCCTGCCCGCTCTTTCCAGAACCAAAGCCCCCTCAAACCCTCAAATAACCCCTCTCCCCTTCCTCTCCCAACAATCGTTTCTCCTCCTTGCCCACCTCGTTCTCATCAGTGACGCCCAGGACCTTCTCGCCTGGGCACACGTGCAAGCGGGCAGGGCACATCTCTTCTACATGGCTCTTGTCTCATCAGGCCCTCGCCTCCCCGCATTTCACCCGCCCCATCCCTTGCCCCCTCTTTGTCCTCATCAGATTCGCCCATGACCTAGTTGCCAAGGGACATGTGCAGGCGGGCAGGGCACATCTCTTCTGCGTGCACTCCCTCTCGCGCCTCCCTCCTCCTCTCATCGCCCCGCTCCTCTCCTCTCTCACCCTCCTCCTCCTCTTTCTCCTCTGGTCCTCCCTCCACTCCCCCGCCACCCAAGTCTCCCACTTCGCCCCTCCCTCCTCCCCCCTTTCCTCCCTCTCCACCCACTCCTCCTCCGCTCTCACCGCTCTCAACCCATCGTCAAGCATCTTCACCGCATGTCAAGAGCTGCTAGCAGCACACGGCAGAGCCGTGAGTGTGGCAGTGGGGGCGGATGAGGGAGGGCCGGGGGCAGCAGCGGCTGTAGCCGCCGCTGCCACTGCTACAGCCGCCGCTGCTGCAACTGCCGCTGCTGCTGCAACCGCCAACACCTCTGCCGAACCCCTTTCCAGCCAAAACCCACAGCAGCAACAACCAGCAGCACCGGACCAACCCAAGCCCGTCATCCCGGGGTCGACCCTCCTCACCGAACAGGCCCTGAAATCTTTCGAGCAGCGTTTCGAGTGCCTCGCCACCCAGGGTATCTGGGATTTAGACCCGGTCCCCCGCCAACTCCCGTGGTTCAAACTCCGCAAGGGTTGGTCTGGATGGGAGTGTGATGCTGCCTGGTCACGCCAAGCCTCTGAAACCGGAAATCTGGCCTTCACCGCTGCCGATGCTGTAGCTGATGAGGCTCGGCATGCACGGGAGTGGCAGGTTCGGGACGCGGCAAAGTATCGGTGGAGGGTGCACAGGAGGTGCGGGCGGTGGAGTGCGGTGGAGAGGGGTGAGCTGGCGGGGAGGCTGGCGGGGCGGAGGGTGCTGATGGTGGGGGATGAGACGAGCGCCATGCTGTTCCTGTCCCTCCGGAATCACATGCTCATGCCAGGAGGGGGGGGGGCGGGGGGAGGAGCGGGAGGAGCAGGAGCAGCAGGAGCAACGGGAGGAAGAGGGGGAAGTGGGAAGGGAGGAGGAGGAGGGGGGTACGAGGGGCTGGAGCATCGGATCATGGTGAGGGATGAGGTTCCAGATTTCTGTGCCAGGCTGGACCTAAGGCAGCAGCAGGACTTCCCTGTTTGCACGCAATTCACGTTCGGCGACTCCGCGTCCGTCCTCTTCGTTCGGGATGACGTGCTCCGAACCTCGCCGCCCAATACCGACCCTGCAGCTCAGGATCCGGCTGCCGGACCTGCGGACGCATCGACCCTCTCGTTGCCCTGGTTCGACCAGATCAAGGCTGTCCCCTCTAGTAGCAGCTCCAGTAGCAGCAGCAGCGGCGGCAGCAGTAGCAGCAGCAGCGACAGCAACAGTAACATTTCTGTGCTTATACTGAATCGAGGGTCACACTTTGTGGAGGATGATAAGTTCATTCCGCAGCTTAACGAAACCCTCACCAAAGTGAGAGCCGCAGCACCGGACCTCCTCATAATTTATCGAAGCACGCCGCCCGGCCACGCCCACTGCGACCAGCTGCTTGCACCAATCACAGAGCGCCAAGACCCCTCGTCCTTACCCAACCACTGGGGTGAATTTGCCGCGCAGAACGAGTGGGCGAAGCGGCTGGTGAAGGCAGTTGGGGGCGTGTTCCTTGATGTTGACCCCATGACCGCATTAAGACCGGATGGGCACATTCGCCCGCCATCTGACTGCCTGCAATATTGCCTGCCTGGGCCTCCCGATGAGTGGACCAGATTGCTGTATCACATGCTGATAGATTTGCTTTGACCTGTGTTTTCCTGCATAAAGTGCTCAGATTTAGGTTGGTGGTTGACGTTAAATTTTAGACTTAATTTCAGGCTGCAAGCGGGATAAAGTTGACTGAACGAGCTCTTCTGGTTGTAAGTGCTGTGTTATTTGTTCGGCCACTGTGTATTGTAAAGAAACATGGTAGCATCTTCTAAAGTCGGTACATGGAACGGTCTGGTGGTCAACCCCGCTGTGGCCTGGGGAATTTCGGGATTAGAAGCGGGTTCACTCAGGTAGCGAATGCGTGACATGTCGGGGACCTGGGAACATGTTGGGAGGCAGACCCCGTTTGGATTTACCTTCCCGAGTGCGAAAATGCAGACCACATGTTTCGATGAGGAAGACCTGAAAACGCTTTCTTACTCGTAACTGCAACACCAATTGAAACTCAGTCTAAACAAATAGCAATCGGAATCCGCTCCTGGTTGCTAATCGCATTCATGTGGTTGCCACCTTGAGATGGATGGAAGTCGCCAAAACAGCTTGGGACTTGTGGGAACCCACCCAGCATGTGATTTTGCCACACACGGGAATTTCTGACTGGACATGCACCCTTGCCTCGTTAGATCCACCATCTATGTGACCCGCTCTGTGTACAACGCTCGCTAGCCTTGAACTCATTTCTCTCATCCAGCACAGCAGTGAGCATCGAGGCGCCATGGCACGTAACGCGCGATTCGGGTATTCTCAGAGCTATTCCCAATCCTCTGCGAATGATTCTCTCACTAGAAGCTCAGCCCACTCGCTGCAGAGGGATCTTCACGGGCGGACCTCGAGGCGATCTCGGAGCCTCTGGTCCAAACCGTTTGGAGGCACGCGCTGCTGCACGAAAGCCGAAAGCGGGAGCACGTGAGCGCAGCGGAAAGGTTGACGGAACGCTGTGGCGAGAGAACGGGAAGCTGGTTTGGTTTGTTGGCTGAACCAATGAAAGCCGTCGATGAGAGAAAGGGAGAATGGGATCGAACGGCAGATCTTGGTAAGGACTGTCTCGAGGGAATGGATTTCAAGCAGTTGCTGCTGAAGCCCTGAAGAACTGGATCCAGGTTCAAGCTTTCAAGAGAGCCTTGAAGCTTCAGCAAGAACAGGTGAATTCATCCTTTCGCCTTTCCATCATAGTTAGTTCTTGGTTACCTCTTCTGCAGCATTTTACCAGCTTCCGCGACATAGCTTCTTGATTATCACTTCTTCTGCCGTAGATCGACGTAGCTGGTGCGATGGAGTCGGAAACGCACATCCATGACCTCCCTGATGACGCCATCATTTCGATAATCTGGCCTTTTCCGCGATCTGACAGTGATGGAGAAGATGCTGGGTGGGGGTTCGTGAGTCCTGAGTTCAACTCGTGCCTCGCACCTCGCATGCGGATGCCGACTCTTCCTCCCTCCGCAGACACCGCTTACGACCTCCGTATTGCGTCGATCTGCCATCGCTGGCGGCGTCTTGCTCAGAGTCATGTCACGTCGTTTCGCGTCAAGAAAGACGTCGTCGTTTCTCGCGAGGAACTTTTTAATGCTGTCGCTTGCTTCACACAGCTCACCCATCTGCATCTGAGCGGTCCAAGCGTGAAGATTGTTGACGACAATGTCCTCGCGCGCCTCGCGGCCTCGTCCTGCCGTCATCTGACAGCATTCCATGTGGGCAAGTCGGATCCGTCTTACCCGTTTTGCGAAAGGGAGAGCCCGTTTACTTCAGCTGGCTTGGACAGCTTTTTCCGTCACTTTTCTCAGTTGGTGGAGCTGTCCCTGTGCTGCCTGCGTTCGGATTTCATGCTACCAGACTCTGTGTTCGAGTTATCACACTTGCGCATTCTCGTCCTGGGCAACTCTCTCATCCTTCAGGGTCGAAAGCTGATGGGCTTGTCTTCTCTCGCCACCCTCTCCATTGACTTCTACTGTCTCAATAATGACCAGGTTGCCAGCCTGGTCTACCTTACAGGCCTCACCAGCTTGTCCTTGTGGGGTGATGTATTTGTCCCCGCTGTAGACTCATCGGCGGCCTTTAGGTTCTCAGATCTACCTTCTCTTGAGGTTCTGGATGCTGCATTCCGCCATGCTCACCTGTTTTTTTCAGAGTCACCGTGTAAGCACCTGAAACGGTTGGTTTTCGACCAGTGCCTGATTGAACGGCTTCCTGACAATGTTGCAGAGGTGCTGCCATGCCTGCGGGAGCTCTGCCTCCTCTATTGTGACAATTTCACCGATCTGACAGAGGAGTTTGCTTCTTTGGCGTGTATGGAGAGCTTGACAATTCGCGAGTGCCAGCGAATGTTCTACCTACCAGAGAATTTCGGAAGTCTTCAATCGCTGAAAAGATTGGTGTTGTGCTCACTACCATTACGCGATCTTCCTGTCTCCTTCTGCCGGCTTTCCTCTCTGGAGACCTTATTTGTGGTCGACTGCTCTGAGGTGGAGTGGCCGCCTGAGTGTCTTGGCTTCCTTACATCGCTCCAGTTTTTGTGCCTGAGGAATTGTCCCAAGCTGAAGCTTCCAGAAGACATTGGAGGGCTGACCAGCCTCCACACTCTTCTCTTGACCGAGAATTCTGCAGAGCAGCCGCTTCCGCCTTCGTTCACGCAGCTGTCGTCCCTGACAGATTTGGAGCTTGTCTATTGCGGCATAGCGGAGCTTCCTGAAGGCATGGAGCAGCTGAGAAATCTCCGTGTGCTGAATATTCAGAGCTGCTCGAAGCTGAAGGAGGTGCCAGACTCTGTCACAGCCCTTGTTAACCTTCGGATTTTGAAGGTTGAGTACTGCAGCAGCCTCACTACAATGCCAAGGCGTCTGGACAGTCTTATCAGGCTGGAGCAGTTGAAGCTGAGCGGGTGTGAACAGCTGGAAGAAGCTCCAGATTCTTTGCCACTCTCTCTCCAGGTGCTAAGCTTGGACAACTACGAGCAAGTTGTGAACGTTGCAGATCTATCTCGCCTGGAAAGCTTAAGCCTCAAGCTGACACCTGCTGCGGAGGAGCTTTCAATTCCATTGGCATATCGTTCTCGCCTCCGCACTTTGAGCATTGAGCGTGCTGAACGACTGAAACGTCTTCCGGGGTTGTCGACTTTAGAGGCGCTGCAGGAGCTGGACATACTCAGGGCTGAAGAACTGACCGAGCTACCATCAACCATCACCAACCTCCAGAACCTTACGTCCATCAGCATTTTAGCACCAAAATTGTGCTCCCTTCCTGAGAAGATCGGGGCCTTGTCCGGATTGCGCAAGCTGGATTTGTCCGACTGCTCCTCCCTCGAGCACTTCCCTGCCTCATTCACCCAGCTCTCCTTCCTCCGTCAGCTGTACCTAGAGGGAACCTCCATTTCTTCCTTTCCTGCCAACTTTTCTCAGTACAGCCGACTCACAAGTCACAGCGGCTGCCCTAAGCCGGATGAGGACGTAACAACTCAAGATGCTCGATTGTGTGAAACTTCACGAGTTGGAGATTGAAGGTGTATGCTTGTAAATAGCTGATGTACTATAAGGGGCTGGTTAGTTACTTCAAGTTACAGCACTGTCTTTGTTTAACTGAATTCCTGTGTCTGATCCTTTTTGCCTCAACATGGTTATCATTCTAGTTGTTAGATTTTAACTGCATTGTTTAATCGGGCCCTCCTTACATGGTCCTAGCATGGTACTAACATGGTACTAGCATGCTCCTCACATGGTACTAGCATGCTCCTGGCATGGTACTAGCATGGTCCTGCCATGAACCTCCCATGGTCCTGGCATGGTCCTGCCATGGTCCTGGCATGGTCCTAGCATGGTCATAGCATTGTCCTAGCGTGGACCTGGTATGGATTTGTATGGTCCTGGCATGGTCCTGGAATGGTCCTGGAATGGTCCTAGAATGGTCCTAGCATTGTACTCGCATGGTTCTAGCATGCTCAGTACCGTAGCATGGTCCTAGCATGGTCCTAGCATGGTCCTAGCATGGTCCTGGCATGGTCCTGGCATGATCCTGGCATAGTCCTTGCATGGTCCTAGCATGGTGACTACCTTGTGCCCTGGTGTGCTGTGCCTTGTGCCCTAGCATATTATAGCGCTTGAGGCTGCAAGCAAACGATCTCAACAGGCTTGTCCCAAACAAGGAAAATTTCAAACTGGAAAGTCCTGCTAAGAAGTTTAGTTCAGTTTACACTGTATTTGAAGGACTTCCTTTTGCTGAATTGATTTTTCGTAGGTTGTGTAGGAGAAACACTCCTGAGCTTCCAACCCCTCTCCCAGACATTCGGTCCACTTCGGCCTCCTCTCTCTCCTCACATTTCCCTATACCGTCTCCTTTCTCCTCGCAGGCAAGGAAGGCCCATTTCATCTGCATCCACACTCTTCCCCACTGGTTTTTATACACATCAGACCTATCCCCCCCCCTCCCTCAGCTCACCCTCCGTTTCTTATCTGCTTCTCTCACGTCCCCCATATGCACTCTCGATCTGGTTGTCAAAGCCCACAAGCAGGCGGGCAGGACCATCTCTTCTCAGTCCCTTTCCTCTCCCGCCTCTTCTCCTCCCTTCATCGTTCCACTCCTCTCCTACCTCACCCTCATTCTCTACCTCGTCTAATCCTCCCTCCACTCCTCTTAATTCCGAGACTCACAATTCGTCCCACCCTCCTCCCTCTCCCCTCTCCCCATCTCCTCCCCATCGTCTTTAACCTCTCTCAAGTCCCAACCCATCTTCCATCATTTTCACTGCGTGTCAGGATATTCTGGCAGTGCATGGATGGGCTGTGAGCATGGCTGTTGGGGGCGATGAGGGCGGCCGGACTACAGCAGCAACTGCTTTGCTGCCATTCCTCTTTCTCAGACTATTAAACAAAGACCCCAAACCATCACAACCACCACTGCCAGATCATCCTGCACCAGCATCAATCAAGCGTCTCGTTCCCAGCTCGACCCTCTTCACCGAATATGCCCTGAAGTCATTCGAGCAGCGCTATGATTGTCTGATCACCCAGGGCATCTGGGACCTAAACCTGGTCTTCCGCCCCTTC